TGTGGGGAATCCGGCCCACATAAATCTGGAAGAAATTCGGTCCGCATAAACAGCTTAAAGATCCAGCTCTTTAAGGCTTTCCGATAAGGACTAAAATACCCTTTTATTTGAAAATTATTATTTATCAAAGGCCACTACCCAAATATTTCACTCTAAGTGTAAATAGACCTAGAAAATAGGGTTTTACGCTTCGGTTTCAAGTTTGGAGCGAAATTAGGGTTTTCGCGATTTTTAGCCGGATGAATTTTCGGTACGGAGCAAGGATCAAATTTGGTGATTAAAAGTGACTTTTAAGTGAGAAATAAGATGTGACTAGTGGCAATGATATAAGGTTTGTGAATGGGAAGTGAAAAACCTAGTATGTGAGTTTTTAAGAAAAACGGCGCGATCCGGCGGGTCCCGCGCATTACCGATTGAACGCACCACTTGACCACCACTTTCTTACCCTACAAGCTCATTGATAATTGAGCAAAATATCCTCTCACTACTAGCTAAGTCTGACCGAAAATTGTGGCTCAAAGGCAAGGAAAGAAAGAGAAAAATTTTGTGGCCAAGATTAGTCCAAGTGTTTGCCCAATTTGTGGACACCATTAGTCCTAATCCTCTTGCTTTATTATAAGGCAACTAAGCTCCATTTCTCTTCATATTTCTGCCAAGGAGCCGAGAGAGAGAGAGGGGAAGAACAAGAGAGAAATTTCTTCATTTCATCTTCAAATCCAACAACTTAGTGAGAAAACAAACAAAGTAAACCGATTAAACTTGTTCTTGAGTGATTAGGTGGTGATTTGTGATAAGTTTTTGGAAGAAGGAAGTTTGGGCTACTCTTTGTGACCTCCATTCAAGGTAAGAGAGCTTGTCTCTCTAAGTTTTGCTTTCAATTTTGTTAAATTAAGTTTAGTAGTTTGATTATAGTGGTGGAATCATGGATGATTAGCATGTTTTAGAAGTTTTCCCCAATTTATTTGATGAACTAGGGCTTGTGGAAATTCTGCCCAATTTGTTATATGATGCTTATAGGTTGCAATTGAGGTGTTATATGGTGTTTTGGTAGTGATTGGACCAAGAAATTAAGGAAAGATTCACTAGAAACTCAAAATTTCCAAAATCTGGAAAATTCTCTCAACATTCTGTCCGAATTTGTATCTGTGTGTTAGAGGCCGAATTGGCCTTAGCTAAAAGAAGAAAAGTTGTAGAGAATGGCATTTTATAGGTGCCTACAAAATTTCAGCTCAATCGGAGTAACGTAAGACGTGAAAAGTCTAAAATACCCTTACTGTTCTAAGTATTTCCCAGCAATCCGTTTCTTCAGTTAAGTCCAGTTTATCACGTTTTTTGACCAGGATCCATTCTGATTTATCTCTAGGCCAAAACATGAAAGTTGTAGTGTTCTGAAGTAGCTTTAAAATGCCTCTAAGAACACCTGAATTGGAATTTTGTACACTGAGTTATGACCATTACAGTGTTCTACGTTTAAACAGCCGACGAATTGGTTTCTGGTTTAGTAATTTGAGAATTTGACCAAGTTACATTAGAAACTGGACTCGGTGACCTTCATGAACATTGTAGCCCCGTGTCTTAGCTTCGAAACGGAATAGGTTGCACCTCAATCCGATAAGCGTAGCCTCGGATATGTTATTTCCGCTTTCATACGTCAAATCTGTTTTGTGCTAGATTGAATTTCTGCACTTGCTATCGTTGTGAATCTTATTATTATGATATTGTGAGCCTATGGAACGGCTCTTGTCATGAATTGCTGATATATGTGATGTTGGGTTGGTTGAGGAAAAATAATGAAGCCTAAATGGCTGGAAAATTAGGTAAACACAAAGGGCATGCTGCCCGAATTTTTACTCGAGAACTAGAAAATTATATTTGCAACTTGAGTGAAGGTTAAGTGATTACCACTTGAACTAGCGAGAACTTTTGCTACTTTGTTATCGATGGTTATACGTTAAAAACCTAAACGAACTTGTACTCTCGAGAAAAATATATAATGGCCAATGTAAACTTATATTTCCTTGTACTTTTAACTCAAGTATTGTTTCCAAGTATATATGCTACAAAAACCTTATGATTTGAAAAGCGAGCAAGTGTTTCACGAATGCCTTTCAAATGAATTTCAATTGGTTGATTCTTATGAACGGAACGTTTAAGTTTCAAATCTTACTCGTGTTTCAAAGTTCTCAAATTGGATTTCTATCGCAGATCTGGACTCCAAACCTGGAGTATAATTGAACGTGACTACTTGAAGCACTATAGTTTGAGTGAGTGATCCCTCGACTGTTCCCAAAGTTACTTTTGAACTAATTCTTGCATTTATTACTTCTTTGCATATCATTTGGGGTTCGGGTGTGTGCCATGACATAATTTGGCTCCAATGGGTTCCTGGAAAGTCTTGTGCTTAGAACCAATGTCTCTACTATTGTTTACACATTCTTTGGAGCCGATGGCTCCTTACTTCTGTTTCATGGTTACCTGATCTAAACGAGCATTGGATATTTAAGTACAAGAACTTCACTGGCTCACATGAGCAATAAATGAACATTTGATTACTGCATCATGACATCATATCAATGCTTTATTGTGAAATATATTTGGCTGTTGATTTTACTGGTCACTCGCTGAGCTTCTAGCTCACCCCCTATTATCTTCTTCTCCCCACAGGGATCGAGGTAAAGGAAGAACTTGTTTTTGGATCTTTGTGTAGCTGGATGGCGTACATCTTGTATAGTTTTAGTTTTAGTTTTGGTTTATGTACTTTTGGGCCTGTATAAATATTTGGAATTGAATCAGATGTAAATCTATATTTTACGCTTAGAATTGGTTTCCGCTTCGCTTAAGATATGTAATTTTGGGAGAATTGGATGTATTATTTGAGTTGTACCTTGTAATTTATTTGAGGGATGTAGTAAGTGAGTGAGTCCCGGCGAGAGCTGGGCAGGCGGCCCGCTAAACCCTCTGGTACGCCTTAAGGGGAGGTGGGGTCGTTACAGATTTGGTCGGCAAAGTACTTATATCCTTGGGCCCGATCTCAGCAACTTTTGGTATTTGCTTTCAGTTTACTGTGAACGGGAGCAGAAAGGATGAGTGCTGGATACGGGGCAGGAACGGTCCTGAACGGTCCCCTCACAGAAAGAAAGGTAAGGCCAGAAATAAACCACGTCAACTGGTTGTTTTGAAGGAAAAAAACGTCACCGTTTGACGAAAGGAAAAAAATAAGATTGACGGACTCCGTTTCCTCTAAACGGAAGAATTGAAATTTTGAAAATGAAGTTCAAAATTTCAATTAGCCGCACAAACCAAAACCGAGAGAAGAAAGCAAGCTGGGTATGTCATTGTTGCTTGGCTGACGTGAAATTAGGTAGAGAGAGTTGGGTTATGGCATCAGAAGAAGAAGGAAGAAGGCAAACAGTTAGAATGCTGTAAAAGAAGGCCAACGATGTCTTCAGAAATTGTATGAGCAATGCGGGCAAGACAGCCGGTAAGGTAGAAGCGAATTAAAGAGGAAATTCATTATCTGACGTTGCCCACCATTTTTTGTGCAACTTAATAGCAGAAGCAACTGTGCATAAGGGCATTCGGTGCAACAAAAAGCTCTCAACGGGCCAAGGTAACGTGATTCAACCATATCAATAACTTTGTGAATCTTATACCAGCAACTTTTCTGAATGTTAGATTCAGTAAAGACATAATATGAAGATAATAGAAGAATAGTCAATGTGTACTGTATGTGTGTTTGAGAGCGTGCAGTTTTGCAGTGATGAACTATTTAACAAGTGAATGAATGTACATGCTGCTGTAGATAAGTTACAGGTTATAACCACCCTATTACAATCTTTGTGCATCCACTAGTTGGTCCATGGTCATCACGCAATCTTAGTTTGCCCCTCTGTTGAGTATGCAGTGTGTATAAAATGGAGGTCTGGGGTTTGACCTAGGAAAAGCAGAGGAAAAGATATATGTGAATAATAAATAGATGTACCTGGTTTTGTAAGTAAATTACATGATGTAAGAAATGTATTAGAATGAGTAAAAAATGCTTGTTTGGCCCTGAAAATGTAGAAATAGTAGAAAATGCACAGGAATTGGCTTAGGCGATTGTCAGTAACGAATTACATAACGTCCAATGAAACAAAGTACCTAGAACCTAAATATAATCACCAGAGTAGATGTACATATAGTTAAAATAGACTTACATGGAGTGAAAAACACATTACAGTCCGTATAACTTAGTGTACATGGAGTTATATTTGTACATAGATAATGCCATTGTATTAGAGTAAAAGTAAAGTGATGTGAATCATTAATCATATCGATGGGAGTAATAATAGAATTTGGTATACGAGTAATGTGTGTAACATAACATATTATAAACGGTAATACACACTTATGTTGTCGTTTACATACATACTATTCATGAACTATTGTAAATTATGGTGTTGGATGCATAATTGGTAGGAGCAGAAGTAATGAATTGTAGAGAAATTGGCAGAAGATAGGACTCATGAGTTAGGAATGGAGTTCAACATGGAAGAGGATGCGTACAAGTTTTATAACAAATATGCCTTTAAAATGGGATTTAGTGTACGCAAAGATTATTTAAATAAACACAAAGACTATTTAGTCTATTTTATGCGGTTGTCATTAACGAATGACATAAGGTCCAGTGAGCTAAAGAATCTAGAATCAAAATATAATGACCAGCGTGGATGTACATACAGTTAAAATAGACTTACATCGTGTGACCAATACATTACAATCCGTATAACTTAGTGTATATGGAGTTGTATTTGTACACAGATTGTGTTAGAGTAAAAGTAAGGTGATGTGAATCATTAATCATATTGATAGCGTAATAATAGAATTTGGTATACGAGTAATGTATGATTCATAACACATTATGAATGGTAATATACATATATGTTGTCGTTTATGTACATACTATTCATGAAGTGTTGCAAATTAGGGTGTTTGATGCATAATTGGCAGGATCAGAAGTAATGGATTGCAGCAAATTGGCAGAAGATGGGACCCCTGAGTTAGGAATGGAGTTCAACAGCGAAGAGGATGCGTACCAGTTTTACAACAAATATGCCTTTAAAATGGGTTTTAGTGTACGTAAAGACTATCTGAATAAAGACAAAGACGGCGTGACCACGTCTAGGAGATATAGTTGCTGCAAGGAAGGTGTAAAGCGCAAGTACGAAGGTGATGTGATGCCAAAGAGGACACGAGCGCCGACGAAAACAGGGTGTGGAGCTAAAATGGTTATCGTGTTGTTTAGAGGAACAATGAAGTACCGTGTGCATGACCTTGTCTTAGAGCATAACCATGAGTTGCACATTGCTCAATGTGCGCACATGATGCCATCACAAAGAAAAGTGAGCGAGACTCAAGGATTCCAAGCTGAAATAAGCGAGGACGCTGGGCTTTCATTGAAACAGAGTCATGAGCTTATGGGAAAGGAGGCAGGTGGGATGGGAAATGTGGGATATACTCGGGAAGACCTGAAACGATATCTTCGTACTCGACGGGAAAGGAGTTTGAAATATGGAGAAGCAGGTAGCATGCTGAATTATTTTCAAGAGCAAACACTCGAGAATCCATCGTTTTTTCATGCCGTACAGCTGGACTGTGAAGAGCAAATAACGAATATCTTTTGGGCTGATGCAGGAATGTTAATTGACTACAAATTTTTTGGAGACGTAGTCACATTCGACACAACCTACAAAACAAATAAAGAATACCGGCCACTTGGAGTGTTTGTGGGTTTTAATCAACATAGGCAAATTGTGATATTCGGTGCTGCCCTTATGTATGATGAGACTATAGATTCTTTCAAATGGGTGTTTGGTACATTTCTAGCAGCAATGTGCGGAAAGCGTCCAAGTACCATACTAACCGACCAAGATCATGCCATGGCAGCCGCTCTTTCAGTTGTTATGCCTGAAACATTTCACGGTCTATGTACGTTTCACATAAGGCGTAATTTTATGAAACATCTTGGCAATCACTACAAGGAAAATAGTGATCTTCCATACATGTTTGGTGCATGCATGTATGAGTTTGAAGAAGTGGAACAATTCAATAGGGTGTGGGAGGCGATGGTGAAGAAACACAATCTTGAAAATAATGAATGGCTCTTCGGGTTGTATAGAATTCGTGATAAATGGGCAAGGTGCATGATGAAAGAAAGATGGACCGCGGGAATGCGAAGCACCCAACTTAGCGAAAGCCTAAATGCAGCAATTAAAAATCATTTGAAACTGGATCATGACCTTGTGCAGTTCTTTAGACATTTCAATCGGGTGGTTGATGAAAAGAGACATAATGAACTGATCGCAGAATATGAAATGAGGCAAAAGCTCCCCATGGTAGGGTTAAGGCAAACACCTATGCTTGTGCATGCATCGGAGATGTATTCACCAACCGTATTTGTTGCATTCCAAAATGAATATGGCGAGTCAACAGCTATGGTTATATTGAGACAACAAGATGCAGCGATGTTTGTGGAGTTTGCGGTCATGAGGTATGATGGAGGACCTGAAAGAACAGTAGTATTCAATCGGAATGATCTAAGTGTACGTTGCAGTTGCAAAAAATACGAGAATGAAGGCATTTTATGTGGGCACGCGTTGAAGGTGTTTGATACCGTGGGTATAAAAATAATTCCTCCTGAATACATTAAGAGGCGATGGACAAAAAGAGCTCGGGCTGGAGACTGTTTTGATCGGCGAGGACAGGAAGTTGTGGCTGATCCTAAAGTCATGATTTCAACTCGTTATCGGGAGCTCGCTCCAGCCATGATTAAGGTCGCAACTCGAGCAGCAATGTCGGAGGACACCAGCAAAGTAGCAATCACTGTCATATCCGATTTGTCAAAGAGAGTTGAGCTCCTCCTCTCAGAAAGCGAAGAGCAACCTTTGCAAAATCAAAAAAATCTGAATATGGAGGAACGAGATAAAATTGAAATTGTAAATGAAATGGGGGAGGCAGTAGTCGCAAGAGGCATTAAAAAACGAGGTGGTGGGAAGAAAAGTAGAGTGATGCGAAGTTGGGTCGATAAATTTGACAGAGTAAAAAGAAAATCTAGATTATCAAGGACTACACAGACTACGGTATGGATCAAATTTTGGTACCTGGGGAACATTTATGCTAAAACTAAGTTATTGTTATACTATTAACTAAAGTTTAGGTAACATTCATTATGAAATAATATTATTGCCGTGTCAATATTGTAGGTCTCAGAATCGGAGCCGACATCGATTTCATTTGAGGAATACATGTTCATGGGATGCCGTTCATCTACTGACTCTGTTTCGGTTAGTATAAAATGGACATGACTCTTGCTTTTATTTGGATGTTTCTAACAGCATAAATAGTTACATTGATGTTACATTGTGTGATAATGTTGTTACGGCCGTCATCCCTCCTGATATACGTATTTTGTTTGTCTTATACAATGATTTGGCCCATACGAAACTTGTAGACGCATTCAATGAGTCAGACAGTGAATGGCCCTCCAAATGCTGTTGCTCCCGATATCGATGAAAGTCAAATGGTATGCATACATTTAGTAGTTAAAATAAAACCTTCTTGTTCATGTAGTAGAGCTACCCTTTTTTCTCTTTAATTGTAATGGTGGGTACCCGAAAGCTGTCAAATCATGCAAATTATGTAGTTAACGTATGCTCGCTTTAATAACGTATTATTTTTTATTATTCCAAGGTCCACCGTTTGGCTAATCAGGGGCCTCCTGCAAGTGTCCCTACAGAATGGATGCATCCCAGATTTTCTATTTTTTCCAAGCATAACTCCGTCAGAGATGTTTTAATGGTCTGATATATCATTTTTGTTATAATGTCTAGTCCAATTTAACTTTATAAGTGAGCAATATAGGCACTGGTAATAATTTGTTGACAGTCGATTACTTATACTATATAATGTAGGAGGAGCGTGGGGCAATTTCAACACACTGTGATGTTGATGCATATCATGTATTTGCACCATCACCTCAGGTGACAAACTTTTATCGTTACAGCACATATTTATGTAATGTTATTAATTGGAGACTTGGACATCGTATATCATTAATCGTATATTTTATTAATAATATTTGCTAATTTGCCATCGTTACGCATTTCAGGGAAGAAATAACACACAGGGATTGCAACTACGCGTTGATGTCGCCTCCCCCGAGAATGAGGTTGATGAATGATGTGTAACTATACATTTTGAACGAGACATTAAGTGGTTGTCCCAACCTGAGAATGCTGCATATGTACGTTACAAGCAGTTAATAAGCTGTTACAACTTATTGACGAGGTTATACAGGCACCATTGATGTTTCACTCTTTTCAAATTTAGACAAGTGAATTACAATTGTAATCGCATCTAGTGTTAATAGTCATCAATAGTTTGTATTGGGTTGTATAAAATTGTAGTTAATTATAAAATTGGTAGAAAATTGAAGTAAACAATTTTACAATAGAATTGAACGTGTTTTTTGTGATCGGATATTTTTCACTAAATTGACCATAACAGTTGAATGGTTGTCGTGATATGTATACCATTGTACTACATTCATTTGCATACCTTAATAACATATTTATTGGTTTAGATCGCACCGCCAAAGGTACTATGTATAAGATAACACAATCTAAAGTATAAATTGTCTTGATTTTGTTATGATGATAAATTGGAATTATTATTGGGCTATTTTTATAAAAATATTATCATTTAGGCCATTTGTTTTACATCGCTTGACGAATTTAGTGCACCATTGACATGATATATCACAGGCACAGCTATTGGTATTACAAGTTTTTAGGTTAATTAAATTATGGTCAAGTCAGGTCAGGACCACATGTTGGTAATAGGTGCGCATAAGAAAATGATTCATTGGAGAACTAATTTGTAACGTTAAAATGAAGTTTTACAATGCAACAAAAAGGAAGAACGAACAGTACACAATGGGTTACAACCAGTTAGGGATATGTTACTGTTACGTTACCACTAGTTAAGACTGTTTAACAGGCATGATTAATATCGAAATATGGTAAGCAATTTGTTTGAGTAGAGATTATAATGAGTATAATTCGATTGGATCATGACCTGTACTCCAACAACAATGAATGTCGTGAATACCCAGTTATAGGTCGGTCAGCTTACTTTTCAAGTGTAACAAGAAGTTACAACCAGCATATGTACGTTACAAGAAATTAATAAGGTGTTACCGCTTATTGATGTGCTTGTACAGGCACCTTGTCATTTGCTTGTATGTTAAAACTTAGACAATTTGTTTATAATTGTATTAATGATAAGTATTACAGATAGTATTACAGGCACTTCAATAGGTAGTACTCCTTCAGTACAGAAATGAACTTACAATTGGCGGCTCGACTTGGTTCCACGTGACCACATAATAAGTAACAGTTTCGCAGAAAAACATGATACTTCGTTGGGACAAGTAGTTTGAAAGTAGGGTAACTAATATTTAAAATGCAACAAATTTTGATTACGCCATGTACCATTTTGAGTTACAACTAGTTATAAATATGTTACAATACATTACAACTAATGAATTTGCAATCGGCAGTTTTTCGTCTTATCTAGTTAAAACTAGTGATATTACAACTAGAAATTTCCTGATATTACAACTAGTGATTGTAGTACTAGTTAATATTTGATGAACCTTTCCTCTTCTCTTGTTTGTGCAATTGCACTTGGCACAAACAACAAGTCCTCCCCCCAACACTTTTAATTTCTTAGACATTTTAGTAAGTGTCTAATGAGAACATAAAGATGGTCGATTCGAACCCCAAAACAATTGATGTAGCGAGGCCTTCTCGAACATTTCCTTAAATTAGCGAGATCTTCTCGAACATCATACAACCTACTGGCTGCTATTTGGCACCCAAGAACTTGATTGCTGTGTGAACCCTCTATTGATGACACTACAATTGAAGTTAGAGGAGGGTTGAAGAATACTAATAATAAATTTCAGGCACGCGTTCATTGCCACCCTTCAGTAGAATGATATGGGAAATGTGAAGTAATTTAAAGTGAAAAATGTTTGTGCAGTAATGAAAGGTTGACGAAAAATTTTTTGTTGTTGAGGGATATACTACTGCACCCGCTCCCTTTTATAGTCCGCCGGACCCGAACAATGTGCTAAAATATCACTGGACAATGCATTCCAGGGCAAATAATTTCGTCATGGCAGTGGAAGCTGTAGAGTTCGATGCATGGCATTGAACTGTGTCACATCTGTTCAGACAATAAAACAAATTATGCAGCTTTTGTCATGAAATGACCTGTACACCAATATTAAGGGTCACGTGGATAAAGAGTTACACATCAGTGGCTTGTACGTTTCACTATGTACGGATTGAATTACAACCAGTTGAGTGTATGTTACAATTCATTATAACTAATGAATTTGCAATCAGCAACTTTTCGTCTGCTCTATTTAAAACTGAATAATGTTCCAACTAGATATTCCCCGATATTACAACTAGTGATAATACAACTAGTTAATATTCGATGAAACTTTTATATTCATTTGTTTGTGCTATTGCCCTTGACAGAAACGATAATTCCTCCCACTGACACATTAAATTTCTTAAACACTTTATTAAGTGTCTATTGAGAATAGTTACAATGATCGTTTCGAACCCCAAAACATTGCACTTGCGAGGCCTTCTCGAATATCTCATTAAAATAGTGAGATCGACATTTTTGCATATGAAGCCAACTAGTATATCACGGGAGAAGAGAATGTACACTCACATGCAGTGCTTGAACCATATCAGATAAGTTTCGTTACATACAAAGCGTCAGATTTGTAGTACCGACAGTGAATATACGTGTTACGTGCTGTTTCTAATCGTTTACAGGACTGCAATGTCGTCCCAAATGTGGAAGCATCATGATGGGTCACATGCTGCTAGTGAACTATTTCAAATCAATTCAGACAATAAAATAAATTTTGCAGCTGTCTTCTTGTTCTGGTCCTGTACACCAACTTTGAGAGGGGTGGAAGACTACTAATAATAAATTTTATATTCGGGTTCATTGCCACCCTTCAGTAGTATGAAATGGGATGTGTGAAGTTGATTACAATGGAAAGTGTAAACGATAATGAAACGGGATGAACAAACTTTTGTTGTTGTGGGATATAAAACTACAACCGCGCCCTTTAATAGTCCGCATGACCCTCACAATGTCCTAAAACATCAAGGGCCAACGTATTTCAGACCAACAATTTCGTCACGACAGTGGAAGCTGTAGAGTCACATGCAGCTGGTGAACTATGTCATGATTCATTTTGGACAATAAAATAAATTTGACAGCTTTTATCATGAAATGACCTGTACACCAACATTAAGGGTCACGTGCATACAGGGTTACATATCAGTGACCTTACGTTTCACTATGTGCATACACAGTTACAGTCTACAGGTAAGTTACAAACCTTCGACAACATTTTTTTGGCCCAAGTCAGATGTGTAACACTCTATGGCCTTGCAAAGTTTATGACCTAAATTTACTATCTCTGTGTGCGATTCGTACCTCCTCAACCGGAATAATAGTGTATTATTTCTTTTTATGTTATATAGTAAAAAAATTGACTTTTACGGTGTTATCGTTTTAGACACAAAGGTGCATTATCAACATTGACCCTGTGACTCGACGAGATCAACAATAATATTGTTTTTAGGTATAAAACCCTTCCCTGGTTACCACTTGCACAGCTACAACACCTGCTGCGCCTAAACTATGTCAATTCAGAATATTTAGGTACAAAGCGTGAAATTTGTAGTACCGCCACTGTTGATAAGTGTTACGTCGCGTGGGTAATCAGTTACAGACAATAACACAAATTTTGCAGCGTTTATCGTGAAATAACCTGTACGCCAACATCGTGGGTCACGTGGATACAGGGTTACACATCGTTGAAGTTAAATTTCACTATGTCCATACACAGTTGCATTATTTTTCACGACAACTTGC